GGACTCTCTTTCCTAAGCTAGACTCTCTAGTTCTCCAAGAACTTCCAAAACTCACTAGATTTTGTTCTGGAAATTTTTTTGAATTCCCCTCCCTTACAAAACTTACAATAAGCAAGTGCTCTATGTTGAAGACATTCATCTCCGGTTTTGCTATAGGGAACACGACAATCAACACTGAAAATGAAGTGAATGCTGCACCATCTCTCTTTTGTGAAAAGGTGGTTTCTTCTCTTTTTCTTTTTCTTTTTCTTTTTTTATTTTTTTTCATTATTAATTTTTTAGAATTTGACTCATTAAACTTTTAAATTTTTATCTATAGCACCTGTTCTTTTTACACAGCATATAGTTTTCACTATTCCACTCTGCCACTATATCAATAACTTTATGTTCAAAAGGCTGTACATAGAATTCATATATTCATATATTTTTAATTTATAAATTACATATAATGGGAATATATTCTGTAGTGATAGCAAGTATAAAAGCCTGGGTATTGCCACCCCTCTTTAACTAAACTTTTCTTATTCATCAAAATTTATATCATATGAAATTCATACTCATGCTTCCATGTCATTCCTACACCTTTCTTTGATTCAATAATAAAAGTTTTAATAAAAGGCCTAACATTCTTACTTAAGCTTTTTCCAGTGTTAAATGTCAAATTTTTTTCTTTTGTGAAAATTATTTTTGTACTTCTTTAAAAGGTGTTTGGAATTTGGATGTTGATGCTACTATCTCCATTTATTTACCTTTTTTTATATCAATTACCATAAACAGTTGTAGTTAGACAATATTCTTCCACATTTTTGCTTAAAATGTGAAATTACTCAAACAATGATAAACTAGCCCAAAGATAGACGGGTGTCAATAATTGGAAATGTTTATGAAAGTTATTCTCGGATTCTTAATTTGAAATTGTATAACATTGTTTTCTTTGGATCAAGAAAAAGTTGTTCATAATAGAAGATCTCTTTGCAGGTCAAGTTTCCCAATTTGAACTTTTTGGAGCTATCTTCACTTAACATGAATCAAATTTGGAACAAGAATCATGAAGAAATCTCATCTTTCAAAAAGCTTCAACATGTAGAAGTTTGTAATTGTAGCAGCTTGAGCTACCTTCTGACACCTTCCATGGCATTGGACCTTGTGCAACTCAAGGACTTGATGATAAAAGATTGTGAAACAATGGAACAAGTGATCATGGCTGCAGGAGTTAAGGAGGTAGTTGAAACTGGCTTAATATTCCCACAACTAAACAACATTTTGCTAGAGTCTTGTTCAAAGTTGTCAAGTTTCCACGCGGGAAGTGATACCCTCAAGTTTCCAATGTTGAAGAAAATTACTGTAAAGAACTGTCTAAAGAGGGTTAGATTTGCTTCCAAATTTCCAAGTGACAAAGAGACAGAGATAGCTAATGGAAGAAGTGAGGAAGTGCATGTCAAGGAAGAACCTGATTTCTTCATTGAGGCCTTTTTCTGTGATGAGGTGAGTCTTCTTCTTTTTTTTCTTTTTTTTTTTCAAAGAATTTCTTCACAATTTTGACAAGGACAAAACTTCATTATACTTCTTTTGTAGAGTATAATTTTCACTCTTCTACAGCACTTCTATAACTATGGACATAAATGTATTTAATGCATAAAGGTCAAAAGTCTTAACCAATATAAAAACTTGTGTACTGTCATTCCTCTTCAAATAAATTTTTCTACATCAAAAGTTATATGGTATGAAATTCAAGTTTATGCTTCCATGTCATTCCTACACTTCTCTTTGATTCAAGAATAAAAGTCTTAATGAAATTAGAACTTCTTTGTAGGTTGAGATTCCTAACTTGGAGACATTGATTCTGTCCTCAATCAATACAAAGCAAATTTGGAACAATCAACTTTCATCAATATCTTCATTTGCTCAAAATTTAACAAAGTTGAAGGTGGTCAATTGTTCCAATTTAAAGTATCTGTTTACATTCTCAATGGTTAAAAATTTTGCGCAACTTAAAGAACTCGGGATTAGTGGATGTGAGATGATGGAAGTGGTAATATTGATAGAAGGGACAATGGAAGAAGACAAGATGTGTCAGGCGGTGTTCCCCAAACTAGAGACCTTGACACTTAATGACCTACCCCAACTTGCAACATTTTGCTCCAATTGTGATTCTCTAGGAAAATTTTCTGACTCTGAAAGAGTCAATTTTGATACTGTATCACAAAAACTACTAGCCACACAATCGACTTTGGTGGAAACAGAAGCCACTAAGCTTGTATTTTCTCAAGTGACAAAGCTGCTGCTTAGACTCTTACCGAAATTCAATAGTTTCTTCCCTCAAATGCATATCACAGAATGGCCATCATTGAAAAGTTTAGTTGTGATTGAATGTCATGGAGTGCAAATAGTTGCTTCAGAATTTTCAAGCACTGAGATGACACATGGAGACAGCCAACTTGAAAGGGAATCTCAACATCTCATGTTTTGGATGAGCAAGGTACGTACTATCAAGTCCAAAAGGTAAAAATGCATATATATATCTTATACAAATACATGCTCTTCATTTTTGTTCTTACACTAAATGAAGGCAAGAAAATAGGGAAAGTAATATATGGAGACAAAATAAAGAAAATTTTCCATTTGTTTTCCTTGTGTACTAATTTTATTTTATTTTGAAGATAAAAAAATAAAATTATTAGAACTTTGTAAAAAAATATTTCAACCGTGTTTTGAATTCTTACAAGTAGAGATTGATCACCCTAATTTAAAAATGTTTTGCTCTGTTTTTTTTTTATACTAACAAAAATTTTGTTATCCTTATAATCCTATATTGGAGTAAACTCCATGTAATTAAATTTAACTTCTAGTCATCATGAGAAAAAAAATTTATATATATTTAAAAAAAAATTTCCTTTTTCATTTTAATACCTGGTCCTTCGTCTAGTTTAAACGAATAATAATTTGCAAATTTAAAAAAAAAAAAATTGTTACGGGAATATTCTACAAGTTAACCTATATGATTATATATATAATTAAGATTTTTAGCAAATTTTTGCAGGTTAACCTATATGATTATATATATACTTAAAGATTTTTACATAGCAATCACCTAAATAATAATTTATTATTTCTTGAAATTGGAGTAATAGAAAAATGGAAGAATTGCAAAAACAAAACAATAATAAAGAAAGAAAAAATAGATGCGTTTATGTGAGATGAAGTGATCTTTCAATGGCAGAAAAATGTGGAAATCAATTTTTATGGTTAGAAATAAGCATAAAAGAATTATTTTTTTTTCGAAATCAAGATTTATTGTATAACTTAGAAATGACAAATTTATCAAAGAGTAATAGATTTAGTTAAAGTTCGGGATTGTCTTCTTATCTCGTGTCAATTTCTCAGGCTACATTTCCTAGTCTAGAACGGCTGGTTGTGAAATGGAATGACAATATAAAGATACAGTGTGGACATCATCCAGAGGGGTATTTTGGTAAACTAAAGGTTCTGCACCTCCTTGGCTTTCCTAAGCAATCGGCTTTTCTTCTGCCTTTCTTCTTCCACTCCCTGCCCAATCTCGAAAAGCTTCTTGTGAAGGATGCTTTCTTCGATGAAATATTCCAATGTGAAGAAGTTACTGGTGAGGAAAAACCTTTATGTGGACGCACTCCATTAAGGACATTAAGATTGTCCAAACTTCATGAGTTAACACATCTTTGGAAGGAAGAATCCCAACTCGAAGTAGACATTCTCAGAAACCTAGAAACTCTAAAAGTGCAGGAATGTAGCAGATTGAAGAATTTAGTTCCCTCCACTGTATATTTCACCAATTTGCAGACTCTAGTAGTATCTGAGTGTCATGGACTTGTCAGTTTAGTGAGATACTCAACCGCAAAAAGCTTGGGGCAGCTCTATGAGATGAAAGTAGCCAATTGTGAGATGATAGAAGAAATTGTCGTATGTTCGGGTGATGCTGTGAAGGATGGCATTGTTTTCACCAATTTGAATTGTTTGCAACTTAAAGGTCTACCAAGACTAGAAAGCTTCTGCTCAGGGGACTGCAACTTTAAATTCCCAGATTTGGAAGAGGTAATTGTTACAGAGTGTCCAAATATGCAGATTTTCTCTAAGGGAGAACTAAGCACACCAGAACTGCATGAAGTGAAATTGACAGGAGATATATATGAATATATGGATAAAGATATCGATGAAGATATAGAGAAAAAAATAGATGATATTTTTA